GTCAAGGGCACAGGCCCAGTTTGCGGGCTTGAGCCCCAGGAGGGGGCGTGCAGGAGGCAGCCAATCAATGATTCTCTCTCATCATGGATGTTTCTCTCTCTCTCTCCCTCTCCTCCTCTCTCACTCCCTTCCTCTCTGAAATCAATAAAAATATATTTTAAAATATATATTCCATGATGAATAAACATCCAAACGTGAAGGAAAATCAGGATCCTTCCTAAACAGGCACCACTCGCCTCAGTTGCCTCTCCCAACACCTGTTCCCAGTTCTAGGGGTGAGGTGGGTGCCTGGGTCCTGCATCCCTCCCCGCCAGGTCCCTCCTCACCCCTCACCCCACCCCTCCAGGGGCGCCTCCCCTGCTCTCCTGCCTGCCTTCCCCTTGGAGCTCCAGCCCTTTCTGGGGCCTTGCCTCCCTCTCCTGCTGGTCTCTGCTGCCCCCTCCTGGAATCTCTCCTTCCTGGCTGCAATTTGGGCAGCTGGACCTGGAGAGTTAGAGGTTCAAGCACTGACATTTCCCGAAGCCCCCAGTTCCAGGCTGGCCCCACCCCACGTCCAAAAAAGGTGCATCCTCCCAGGTCTCACTGGCCCCAGGACATGGTCTTCACACCAGGTCCCTGTGTGTCTTAGGGAAGAAAGTCGCCCTCTCTGTGCCTGTTTCTCATCAGCAGAAGCTGGAGGACCTCCACCAGGTGGGTGAGTCCCTGTTCTCTGGGGAACCAGCGGTATTCTCCCCCATTTGCTGGAGGGGGCTGCACTCCCAGGGTCTCCTGAGGAGCCAGCATCTTCTCTGTCGCCCCCTGGGGACCCCTCAGAGGGACTCGGAGATTTCAGAACCGTTGTCATATCCCTAGATGGAACCTGTGACACCCTCTGCCCCAGACCCTCTCCCCGACCCCCACGGGAAAGACAATGACATTCTCAAGGTGAGATGAGAGGGACCAGTGGCTTGAGTTTGGGAATGGAGGGAAGCAGAGAGCTGGGGAGACCTGGGCCAGGGAGAGGAGCCCACAGCCTCAGGCAGGGACTGTGGGGCCTGTGGGATGGAGGAGGAGCAGGAGACTAGGGAGGGGGTGGGGAGCAGGCCTGGGTGGGACAGAGCTGCAGCTGTACCCGCTGGGAAAGCCCAGGCCATTCCTCGAGGGTCCCCAGGGTCCAGCCAGACTCGGATTTCCGACCGCAGCCACCGCAGGAGGATGTGGTCTGTGGCGGTGTCTGCCCAGGGGTCATGGCAGGTGCTGGGGTCGGGGAGGGGGCAGCTGGGGATGTTGCATTTAGGGACAGTCCCTTCTCCCCTCCCCCCAAGCTCCGGGGCTGTCCCCGGGGCAACCACACCTTCTGGGCTCTGAGCAGTGGGTGATGGGAAGGGAACAATTCCAGTGGAACACCTGGTCCCCAAGGTACCAGGAGCCTGAGGTCAGAGGCTAGAGTGAGCCAAGTACCAAAATGGGGAGGAGCTGCACTGGATCAGGGGCCCCCCAGGCACCCACACCCGTCACTGTTCGGTTCCTTGACCATCTCCAAGGCCAGGGGAGCGGGTGTTGTGCGGTCCAGCCCTCAGCTCTGGACCTCACCCCCCAGACACTGCCTGAGCTGTGTTCGGGGAGTGGGACGATCCAGCCTGCGGTTCCTTGAAAGCTGCTCTGGTGAGTTTGGTCAAACCGTTAAGTCCTGATCACCATCAACTTGACTTCTTCCTTCCTGCTCATTATTGCCCTTGTCAGGAGCAGTAGAAAGTCTGAGAGTTTTGACTCTACTTGCAGGCTGAAAAGCAAGCCTGCCGTAGATTCCCGGGTGCTGGCAGGAGACACGAGACTCCTGGGTCGGAGACAAAGGAGTTGAACTATGACTGTTGCTCATAGTTCATTACTCAAGTAGCCAGAGTACCAGCAGCATTAAGATTATCAGCTGGAATATCAGCGTCCGACATCAGTCCTCTGAGCCCCCCAAGATGCTGTAAAAAGGGCCAGGTGACAGCCGCACACCCAAGCTTGGGGACCCCAAATCTTTCATACCGGCCGGTAAGTACATGTTGCTCCAGAGGGACACACCCTCTCTACCAGCATCCTGGAAAAGATGGTCCAACACAAGGGCAATCGGTGCCTTTGCTCACGGGACGTGCAGACACGAAGAGAACCTTCAGACAGTGGTCTCCCAGCCACTGTTGTCCACACCAAGAAACTGAAGTCCCAGGCAATGTGTTACCGCTTCCCATGGAACATCTGGATTGATTTTCACCAAGGGCAGCAGGAGAGTTCCTGAGTATCTGACTCAAAACATGGGCCAGGCAACTCGTAAAGGGACCTCCCAGGAAAGTCGAGGTTGGTGAGGGTTGGGGCCCCCTTTGGAGCTGCTGAAGCAGAAAACCAGGAGCCCTAGGGGCTGCAGCTCCGGAGTTGAGCGGACGTATGAAGGTTCCTGTGACCCAAAGGCAACTGGAAAGCAAGCAGGTGGGTGCTGGGGGTGACAGGCAGGAACCTACCACCCGAGTTCTCCCAGACACCGGCAGTGTGAGCCCGCGGAGACCCACAAAGCACGCCCTGGAGCTGTGCGAGGGCCAGGCCTCCTGGCTGGGTGGCGCCCAGGAAGTACGGAAGCTGCTTGAACAGCAATGTCTCCTCTTCAAAAGGGGATGTCACCTGAGCTCAGCAGGGAGCAGACCCCATTGTCAGAGCTACACAAGCAGCGTCACTCTCATCATCATACTATGTGTTATATTCCTGGGTTTTCAAACCAGCCCCGACCCCAAGCACCTGGGCAGCCCATCCCGCCTGCACCCTGCCCAGCACAGCCCACACCTGGGCTCCCCGGGGAGCAGAGCACAAGCCTTCCGGGTGGTGAGGGCTGGAAGTGCAGGGACAAGGTCACTGCTAGGTTCCAGCTCACCCTGCACCTGCACCCTGGAACCGCCTTGGGTCCTGCATTCGCCTTCTTGGGCCTTCGTTTTCTCACCCACAGAACAGGGACACTTGGCTCAAGGACACACTAGGACAGTGATGGCGAACCTATGAACTCATTTTTTTGGTTGATTTTTCTTTGTTAAATGGCATTTAAATATATAAAATAAATATCAAAAATATAAATCTTTGTTCTACTATGGTTGCAAAGATCAAAAAAAAAAATCTATATGTGACACAGCACCAGAGTTAAGTTAGGGTTTTTCAAAATGCTGTCACGCCGAGCTCAGAAGGTTCGCCATCACTGCGGAGCTGCTCCGAAGCCCAAAGTAAGAGGTGGACGGGAACGGGCATTGGTTCAACGCCTGCTCTGTGCTGGCGCTTAGCAGATGCACGATCCCCTTCACCCTCGGGCCCTCCTGCTGCAGAGGAGCTCTCCCCACTTCACAGACAAGGAAACTGAGGCCCGGGGGTGACCTGGGTCTGGGTGGTTCCAACATCCCTCAGCTTGACGTTCCCCCTGGAGAGAGGGAGATGGATGACTCCCTGCCGGGCCCTGGCCTAGCCCAGGAGCTGACCAAACTTACCAGGCGTGACCACACCAGCCAAGGAAGGACCAGGCTTGACTGGCAGGCGTGGAGTGTGCAGGGGCCCAGCCTGGGGGCCTGGTCAGAAGAGCAGTCCCAGGCCCACCCCGAGGAATTCAATCCCTCATCCACTGGGCACTTGGCTGCCCTCCAGGCCCGAGGTAGATGCTCCAATGCCCAGAGAGACCCTTGGGGAACTGGGGAAAGGGGGCAGGAGCAGGTGTGCCCGCCCCAGCACCCCAGGGGCGGGGCCAGCAGGGGTGACCGTGGGAGATGGTTGAGCTCTGATTCCAACCACAGCAGAGCAGTTGGCAGATGCCACTCTAAGAGGACCCGCACGGGGGCCGGCACCGGAGAAGGCCCAGGCAGAAGATGGGGCCATTCGGGCCAGGGCACACGAGGATGGCCACTGCCGGTGAGGACCAGGGGCACCTGCCAACAGCACCCATTTCACAAATGTGGAAACTGAGGCCCAGAGGTGACCGAGGTCTGGATGGTTTCAACATTCAT